GCTTCTGGTCTCTGTAAAAGCCGGGCGAGGGGCGTAGCTGGGAGTCTCGGGCCCCCGCCCCACCCGGCTTTTGTGCACAACCACAGGGCTCCCAACGCCAGTCGCCCCCGACGGGCTTCCCTCCGGCGCCCAGCCGGAAATTCACAAAATACCAGACATTGCACATGTCCGGTATTTTCTGAATTTTTCTACCAGACAGAGGGCGCAAATACTGTCCAGTAGAAAACCAGACACCTGGAACCCTAGCCCCAACGGAAGCGCCGCTCAGCTGGGCCCCGGGCAGCAAGCAGCTATTTGGGGTCTGTGCTCCCCATGCATGTCACCGTGTACATCACCCCCTCCCCCCCTTGCGGCAGCCCAGCTGAGCAGGCAACACTCAGCCAAGCGCCATGGCAGGAGGGAAGAGGGGCGGGGAGAGACGGAGGAGAGAGAGAGGCAGGAGGAGAAGAGAAGAGAAAGGGATAGTGAGAGGCAGGAGGGGGAGAAGAGAAAGAGACGGAGAGAGAGGCAGGAGGTGGAGGAGAGCTGAGAGGGAGAGGAGAGAGAGAGAGAGACGGAGCGAGAGAGCTCAGGAGAGAAGACCTGAAAATCCTGTCTTATGACGGGCTAATTGGCTAGTTCAAGAAGAAATGAACAAGCATTAAATGTAGATTCTGATTTTCTGCAAGCATATTAGTAAATCCAAACCTTAATCTTAGCTTTTGCAGATTTTCAGACTTTGACATTTATTCTGTGAATAGATTGGTTCACTTCAGACTACATATGTAAATATGGCAGTTTTCCAATGACTTGAATTACTGCATAAGTAAATAGCTTGTTTTAATCTCCATAATATTTTTAGAGTGGACATTCTGTGCTATGACTATTAAGATATAACAGTCATAGAATGTTAAAATCTCTTTACATACACTATGAAAAGTTATTCCATGAGCCAGTGCTTGTTTTATGCAACAGAATCTTAAATAATATAATATAGTGAGCATAAAAAGTATTATAATGGTAATGTAAGCAACATTAATTTAAGTAACAGATGACATCTGGGGGAGAGGTAATTCTATATTCATAACTTATGCAAAATTAATTTTATAGCAGCCACCACATCTGTAGAACTCATTTATTAGATCTTCTTACCAATCCTGCTGTTCTATTTAGAAATATTTCTTTATGCTATGTTATTGTCTGTGCTATACCTACATTTTTAAAAAGGCAGTCTGGTAGTTCTCAACAAAAAATAAAAATGGTATACACATTGAGCAGTGTGGCTCCTTTCTATGACTTATCAATTTTTATGCACACCTCCACTAAAAAAGAATTAAATGAAAGGTAACTGTATACATCTATAGATTTAGAATAACCCTACCAAAGCTGACTCTAAACCAGCTTCACTTGTTCAAGTTAGAGCAGCCAATGGTCAGCTATAAATTTTCAGGGTTAGCGTGGTCCCCCAGAAAGTACTGCACAGCCTAGAGACCAGTAAAAATATACTGTAATTTAGTTCCACTTCCTCTGTCTCTGTCACATATCCTCTTGCCCCCCACTAACCATGACAAACCCTCTGCACTACTGGGCCAGCCCAAGAATCCTAATAAGGAGGAATCCTTATCAGCCACTTCAAAGGTGGTGTAAGGTTTATCAGGCAGCGTAAGTGATTTGTCTTAAATCTAGTCACAGGCTGCAGAAAGTTAGAACTTTCTTTTAGGGACATTGTAACTGTTTATAAACAGTAGCATAATACTGACTTGTATTTCCTTCTGTGTTTTAAAAGAGATTTTACTACAGAGCCACTGCTGGTGTTAAACATGAGGCTTTGTTCTAAGTACAGAGTCTTAATTGCAGTTTTTAAAGGAAAGTGTTGCCTTAAAAGGATTCATTTAAGTGCAGTTGTTGACTCTGAGCTTTCACCACTATTCATTCATTCTAATTTTCCCCTGGACTTACAAAGAAAGCACCCTATAGGAAGGGACCTTAACGACCCTTTTACTGCTCATTACCTCTTATTACTAAACAAAATACTTCATAGTTCACTGTGCAATGTCATGTGCTTTAAAAAATCTTTTGGTTTAATTTTGTGACTGTTTTGGTTTATGGAAGAAACTAGTTCTGTGGTAACTTAGTTATAATCTGACAATTTAAGGGTGGTTATAAGTCTCCTAACAGAAAAGGAAGGAAGAATCTGTGGGGTCAGGAAGAAATTTTCCCCCAGATCAGATTGGCAGTGGCCTTCAGGAGTTTTCACCTTTCTCCACAATGTGTGGGTGAGGGGTCATTTGCCAGGCTTTGCTAGAATCTTGCTTTATCATTTCACTGCTAATGCTGGGGTCGCAAGCACTGGTACACTTCGGTCTTTCCTCTTCTCTGCCTATACCACACAATAATATAGTCTCCATTGGGTCTCCATCAGGCCCGCTAACCAAGAGGAGAAGGGGGGAGAAAGTGAGGCAGTTGGCCTGAGACCAGAAGTTTCAAAGGGGTCTGGAGCTTCTAGATGCTGCCTCTGCTACAGCCGCTGCCGTGTGGGCTGGAGCGCCAGTCCCCTTTGAATTGCCTCTGGAGCGCCATTCCATGTGGCTCTGAGAGCTGGGGGGATGTGCCGTCATCTGGGTGGTGCTAAAGGCTGACTGCCCTCAGCCCTACCTCTTCTACCTGAGGCATCCCCCCTTCCAAAGTCATGGAGCCACCCTCCGCCCTCCCCCCCACCAATCTTGCCTTAGGGCCCACCATGACTATCAGCCCCGCTGGTCTCATTTGCTTAGATTTCATTTTGGGTGTTGGGTTTAAACAAGCATATACTGGATGGTGTTGGTGGCCTGTGATATATAATATGATATGATCTTGTGGTGTCTCCTTGCCTTTATATGACTCTATTTAAAGGGAAACAGTAAGTTAAAAAGATTATCTTTAAAAACAACCAAATGAGCACCAAGAAAAGCTGAAAACCTCATTTATCCTTTAAAAAATTCATTTGATTAAATCTGAATTTATTTTAAAAAGCTAATTTAGTTGTTATTGTTTATATTGGTTTCTCTTATTCTTTGATTTAGGAGGTATAGTTAGATGACTACTTACGGACAGCATTAAATCATAGTAAAATGCTTGAATAGAATTACATCATATACTATTGGGGCCTGATTTGGCACTCTGTAACCCCAGTTTTACTCCAGTATAAGTCCTTTGGAATTAATAAAATAATGCAGTGATGAACTAGGACTTTTGACTCTAAGGGTAAGTCTACACATCATCACTTTTGACTCTAAGGGTATGTCTACCTCTGGTATCCTGAAATAGCTACTCCACGTCTTTACAAGCTACCCGTTATTTCAAAATATTTTTGAAATAACGGGCGTGCTGTTTTGACATCCTGGTAACCCTCATTCCATGAGGGTTAAGGGATGTCTCAAAATAGCACTTTATTTAAAAATGTGGTGCTGCGTAGCACAAATTGTGTATCTTATTTTGAGTTTAGAGTGGATAGCCTAAGATATAGGCATGGCCATTTTTATTTCATAATAACCAGAACTCGCCAAGCCATAGCAAGCCCCGCTCGCCAGCTGCACAATTCAGCACGCTGCGCATGCACAGATCGCGCTGTGGCACCATGATGGGCTATAATCTACCCGCCCGTGGCCCGTGGCGAGTAGATTACCTAAATTGTCGAGCCCTGATAATAACCATTAATGTACACCCAACACTTCATTTCCAAACTTCATTATCCATGTAAGCATGGAAATGTACTGCTACGAACCTAAGGAAATAATCAGCTCCTCCCAGGTAAATTGTTCAGTTTTAAAGAGGGCCTCCCTACAAGTACATGTCAGAAATTAATAAATGGTGATTTGTAATAGCTGTTACTTGGCTTTCCAATTTCAAGCTCTTGGATGGTAACAAAAAGGTGCTATGAGTTTTGTCAGCCAAGCACTTTGTTTCCTTTCGGTGTTCGTAAAGTTGTGAGCTAGAATTAATCCTATATTATAAAGAGGGTTGTTGTTTTTAATCCAACTAGAATGTGATTGAACTTGTCAAACCAATGGACACCCTTTTCCCTGCTCCACTGGAAGAAGCTATATCTTATGATATTTATTCATCGTTTATTGCAGTACCTCCAGAATCAGAGGTAGAAATTGAGGTAAGGATTTCTCATCTGTTCTAGTTTGAGTGCGCACACACACACGCACACACACACTTTCCCATAAGATCACAGTGAAAGTAATCAGTTTGAGTTCTCTGTTCATCTTATTCTACTAGAGTATAATGTGCGTTCAGTTTTAAGACTGAATGAAGTTGTTGCATTAATTTGTCAGCAAGGGAGCTTGTATGCAGTTAATTCAATTGGCCTCTCCCACAGTACCTCTGCAATGGCCAATATAAAAATCTCAGATCTCTCCCAAATTAGAGCATTTCCTATGCCAGCATACCACATTGCTCTTGTGTCTTTGGGCTGGTAATACTTTGATGTTGATAGTGGAATACTCCAACTAGACCGTTTCTTATGGCATTTATTTTTCATTTATTAGGAAATTGAGCAAGAGTGTCATCCAGAAGGGCTCCAACCAGAAACAGAATCTTTGGATGTAGATCCTATGGCTGGGTTCACCATTGCAGATGTTAAGTCAGTATTGGGTCAAATCACTAATGAAATTATTGGCAGCCTTCAGGTACTATTTTAGAAATATTTTCACTAATTCTAACTGTAGTTAATAAGTTAATTACTATAAACTGGAAAAAATATATTCATCTGCTGTAGGAATGTGGTTTCACAGGTATACATAAATTGCAGATTAGACATTTCACATGTCAAAAGAGCCAAAAATAGTAACATAATGCATCTTTACAATTGCTGTGTTATTTAGAAAGCCTGGGCTAAATCCTGCTGTCTTGGATATCAGTGGGAAAATTCCTTTCCCGTGTTGTAGAATCTGATGATGTGAGACACCGCATGCCATACTGAATATGCTCAAAATGAATTTTCAGAAACATACATCATTTGAAACTTACACACACACACACACACACACCCACACACACACACACACACACAATCTCTCAATTATTATGCATCACAAACATATCCATTAAAAACATATGTAAGCCTATTCTATCGTTTAGTTACTATATATGTAGTAATTACATTTATAGAAGAGTTGGACTATAGAGCATTGGACCATCTCATTTGACAGCCTGCTCCATCAAATAACTAAACATGCTGAAGAGAAACAGTTAACACTTCGTTCAATATCCATTATTGTCTTTATTGCAACTATCACTTTATATTAGCTGTTGAAGACTGAATTTGCCATTAAAATCTTATATGGTGCACATTTGCTCACAGTGATATACGTGCTTGTATGAGAAACAGTTCATTACTAATATCTGCAAATGGTTTGATATTGAGAAATTGTAGTTTTATGGATTATGCATGAATGGGAGATATCAGCTGGAAAATTTACACCTAGAATAGTGCCTGCAGGTTTGACTCTGTATTCTCATTCAGCTTGTTTAGAAATAGGGAGAAAACTTTGGGCCTGAACTGTGGCTTTCTTATGTATTTCTTTTAAGAACTTAAATATACATTTTTCTCTTGAACTCACAGATCCTAACCTTGGCAAAACTCCCAGTGAAGTCATTGAGAGTTTTGTATGAAAAAAAGATTGCAAAATCAAGTGAAAAATGCATTTTTACATCTACATTAATAAAAAAAAAAGCTAACAGAATTTGATTCTAAAATTGTGGTCATTTTGTGCAGATGCAGTAAAGTATATTTTGCCCTCTTCAAACTCTCACAGAAAACTTAAAACAGTTGGAAGGACCATATCTTATTTTCTTTCCATTTCTGGTCTATTTTTGTTACGACACACCATATGTTTCCATGGACATACATAGCTAAGCATACTGAAAAGGTTATATGCATTCTAAGGCCAATAATATTCATGGAATTTGATCCAATGTGCCCAGATTTCTACAGGAAACAGCACTGCAGACTGCTACATGTTATTGCTGCCAAAGACTTTGCTAAAATATGTCATATCCCATGTACCTTCATTGCAAATACAGGCAGTCCCCAAGTTACGCGGATCCGACTTATGTCGGATCCGCAGTTACGAACGGGGCTTTTCTTGCCCCGGAGGACGGGAGCGGCGGGACACCCAGATGAGCCGCGGTACCGCCGCCCGCGTTCTCCGGGGCAAGAAAAGCTGTTCCCTGTCTCCTTGGCTTTCTGGAAAGACCAGGGAGACGTGGAGCAAAGCCGTGGAGGACGCCCGCAGCGGGACAGCCGTGGCG